ATGATCTGAATATGAATGTTCTTCAGATGAATTCTTTTCACTTGAACTTTTTTCTTGACTTGGATATTCTGATGATGATTTTGTACTCGAACTAATAAGAACTTCATCAACAACACATGGATTGAAACTATATGGATTATTTTCTGCACCTCTACAATGAGTTCCAAGAGCACAATGCCTAAATCCATTAAAATCTGGAGAACATTCATAATAATCACGATCATGAAGTCCATCAATAACACAGTAGAATCCATCAGCTTTACATTCGAATTCAGTGTTAACAACATCAACTGGAAGAACATCCATTACTTCTTCTTTTACAAACTCACATGGAATTACATTAGTGTGATGAGCATTACTAATACATTTAGTATTCCTAGGACATGTTCTTATTCCTTCATAAAATTCATTACATTCAAAATATTTATCATGTTTGATACCATCAAAGACACAATGATATCCTTTCTTCTTACATCCAGTTGGGTATACTGCGAGAGTAAGTTCTAACACACACAATGCTAATATAAGTTGTTTCATTTGAATGATAAGAAGAGTTCAGAAAAGTACTTTTATACTTCTAATGATAACAAAATCCCGAAAAAGAATCTAATCAAAAATTCAATCTCCTAGAAAGACATAGTTGCTAAATCCTCTTTTAAAATTTTTCTCTACCGCAAAGAAATAATTTTACTTGTATCAGTTGAAAGACTTTAACAAAGTCTTAGGAGATAGATTTTCTTTTGTATTTGTTGTCTTATAGTAAAAAGTTTTAAAATAAAATTATTTTATTAAGAATCTATTTTTAAGAACTTGAAAAAAGATATTTTGATAAAGATATGGAAATAAAAGTAAATACACTACTCACAAATGACATAAAAGAATTTCAAAAACACCCAAACGAAGAGATTAAATGGAGGCTTATCAAAAGAATTTCTCAACAAAGAAATCGTAATGTCTTTCTTAACATTGCCGTTGGTCCATTACACAAACAAAAAGAACTTGAAAAACAACGACTCGTAGAAGAGATTCGACACAGACTATCAAACCCTGCTGTAAAAGGGTGTGCAATAATCAATTCTGAATGTCAAAAAACTAAAAAAAATGAACAAGACCTATATGAAATGCTGTGTGAATTAGAAGAACGAATTGATAAAATCCGAGTATCATCAAAACAAAAAGCAACAGTTATGGAACGTAACAAAGTAGAATCAGATAATAAGTAGAAAACAAGTAAGTGATTGACTAGTCATTATTTTAAAAATGAAAAGCAATAACTCTTTTCTTTTGACTTTAAATAAAAAACAGAAAAAGAACTTGAAAACAAAGTTAATTATAAGAAGAATGAGTAATGATGATTTTCTTAAAAGTATCACTAATGATTTGAATGAATTAGAAACTATTGTTGATAAACAAGAAGAGTCAACTACTACTGTTCAACAAAATACTAATTATTCAATGGACAATATATTATCAGAAATAGATAATTTAAAAGGACTAGATTTTGAAGATGGTGAAAATGAGTTTTTTAACATCACAAAAGAGAGCTTAGCAATGGATAGAAAGAACGAATTATCAATGAACGATTTGGTAAATGTTGGAAGTGACTTTACAATTGTTCAGCCAGGTGATGGCAAATTTATTGATGACTTAACTCCAACTCCACAAGACCGTTCAGAAGATATTGGTAATAATGAAAATAATAAGACCAATAATAAAAAAGAATATACCCCTTCTTCATCTCTAAAAACTAATATTTTAAACATTGTTGATGAGTCAAAAGAAAAACAACTTGAAACAATATGGAAATTACTAGAAGAAACTGACCAACCATTTAAGAAAGATGTTATTTATATTTCTGATATTCCTATTGAGCCTCCACCTCAAGAACCACAAGAAAGTGTTTTGAATAAAATTAATACAAATATTACAAATAGTTTTGCTTCATTGTGGAATACACTTCAGTCCTGGAAACCTATAGAAAAAGAACAACCAAAGTCTGAACAAATAATTACTGAAACAAATGAAAAAGAGCAAAACCAATTAAAAACAGAGACAATAAATGACCCACTGCTAAAAGATATACCTCCTCAAAATATTATTGAAAAAGAAGCTTCTTTAAAAACAACCAATGGAAAGAAGTTTCAACCACCAACAAAACCTCATGAAATTACACCATATGAAAAAGATTTAACAGCACAAGGATACATCTATATTTTAAATATTACCCAACTCATTGAATTGGTAACTCACCCCTTTAATTTCCCAGGACTAATACTCCATGATATTATTTTAAGATTTATCCCAGAACAAAACGAATTTTTCTTAACCAAAGGCTCTAAATCTGATTTTGATATCCTTCCTAGTTCCTTCTCAAAACCAACTCTTGTTCAAGTTTTTGCTTTGTCTAAAAACTTTTATATAGTTTACATTGCAATATATGACGAATACTATTTAACACCAAACAGTCCAGTAGTTATACCTAATGCCCAAGTTAGGTATGTGACTTATTGTGAATTAAGTAAGTTAACGTCTATCACAACTCAATTTGACTCAATTACATCTTATTTATCTAATGTAGATAAAAAAATGGGTGATAGTATTTTAAATTGGGCAAAAAGTTGGTTCTAATTGAAACTTTTATTATTAACATTCATTTCTAGTGAATGAAAAAGGTTGGATAAATTACTCAATAAATAAACACTCAACTTCGTTCAAGCATCAATGTCTTCTATCCCGTGATCTTTCACGAGATCTATCACGAAGTCGTTCATGACTTCTACTACGACTTTTGTGACTCCTGTTTCTTCTACGTGAATTTCTTCTGCTATGTGAGCTATGTCGTCTTCTATCTGAGTAATTTCTTCCCCTACTCCTTGAACGGCTTCTTTCATGATAATTTGGTAGTTGGTAGAATAATGGAGGTACTTCTCTGTACGTAGGAATATGATAAACACAAGGAAATTGTGTAGATGAAGGAGGCAATACTTCTGCAGGTTTTCCATAGTTATAGACATAGTTTTGAGGTTCAGGATATTTTGATGTAATTATTGAAGAGTTAGAAAGTGTTCTCTCACTACCCCTTGTGGAATATGGGTTATAAGAGGTTGAGTAAGTGCTAGTGTATGGGATAGGATTATCAGACATAATTATAAATAAATGATTTTATAGATTTAAGTTTTTTCATTTTGTTATATAAAACAGTAGTTAATTGTTTTATCATCTTTAAATTCTTTTGTAAAATTTTTTATTTCACTTTTTATTCAATTTTTTTAGAACCTAAATTTTTTAGTTCCCTAAATTTTGAGTTCATTTCATTATAATTTTCCTCTTTTTAGTATTGTTTTTATATACATTTCTATTATTTATATTAGATTAATTACTTTATATATTCAATAAATTTTTTCATATTTCCAAAATCCTTAATTGCCTTTTCAATAAAAATCAGAAATACTATTTTTATTTATCAAATTAATTTATTAATTACATTTCACTTCATTTTCATTATAACAATAATTATTTTCATACTCCTTCTTTACCAACTGTCTCATCATTAAGTACTAAAAACACAGTCTCAAATTGAGAAATTCGAATTATATTACTGACTTGTTAAATACAACTATTTTAGTTCATTTAGTAGCTATTATTAAATATAAACCTTAATAAAGTAGAAAATTCGCATTACAACAACAATTAAATTAATTTTAAATTTTTTAACTTATACTTTTCATGAAATCAATCTTATAGTTATAAACTTTATAAATGTTTAATGCACCATTCCTATTTAGTATGTTCAATGTTGCACAATAATTAATTATCAAAAAAATAAATCACTGAAAACCTTTTTTTGTACCATAAATACTACTCTTGGTTTTAATCAACTTTTTTATAAAAAAAATATATATTCTTCTATTGGCAACTAATTAATCCAAAAACTTTTCTTATTATTTTATGTAAGAAAATTGATATACCTTGTTATTTCTCTAGTAATAATAATTTCAATCTTTTTTCTTATATAAAGGTTTATTCTTCTATTTTTATATTTTTTAGTCTTATTTTATTCAGCTATTTAAAAAAAAAAAAGGTCAATTAATAGATAT